TGGAGTACCGATCTTTGCATGGAGGAATGTTACGATGTATGTTCTGAACTTATACATGCATTCTTGACTAACTGCTCCTTCAGTTCATTCACTTCACACCCTGGTCATTGTGAAACTCTGCATGTCTGGCGTCGTCCTCGTCACCCTCCCCAGAGAAGGTTCGAGCTGAGCCACCATCCTCTCCTTTGCTGAATCCAGCATCCATTGACCTGCCCTTGCTGAAGACACTCCTGACTGTTACAATTTTTCCATTTTTCTTATCTTATCCAAGCATCTATCTTATCTTCAGCGCTTACAGACAGTCTACATGCCATAACTGGATGCTTGTCTTGCCATACTGCGACACTCAGTCGCCACACGACTTTACTTGTTTCACACATGCATAACACACATAGTGTACTATTATTAGCATGAACCAAACTGTATTTAAGTAGAGCCTTCGCTGGCCTAAACCCCAGCTTCGGCTAAGGTTTAATCTACCCAACTTGCTAGAACTCCAAGTCTCATGACTATCTAAGTAGTTACCTGCTCAATAACCCAGCATTGCCTACATTGTGTCCGATCCACCAAAGTGTGAGTGGTGGTCCTTTGTTTGACATTGTTTGGCAAGTTGGTGGCTAACATTTAGTCAAAGCTTGCTTCACACGTTCCTCACCTACCATGGGGACCAATGCATATGACTACCCTACCCTCAACAATCATCGCAATCGTCATTACTGGCATACTCCTCGGAGCAGCCATAATAATCTTTCTCACAGGAATCACAATCAGCTACCTAGAAGAATGCTATCTCTGAAGAAGAGCCCATCTGCCCATTCAGCAACCACCAAACCCAGCTACCCACACACTACCTACCCATGTACACACCACCACCACCTCCCTATCCGACCCTACACAATGGAAGACCCATCCAACCCCAAAATCAAGGACCCGTGATTGTCTAGTGACATTGCCAGGCCCATATACCATACTGCCCTGAGACCAGAGACACTGTTCGAGAGCGAGTATCCACTCGATGAACAGCAAGGAGAAGAAGAAGAGTTTGCTACAGCGAAATGAAGGACAGAGTGACAGGGAAGGGGAAAGTGAAGGAGATGGAACCAGTAGAAGAGCAGACAGAGAAATGGACATCACTGATGGGCAGTACCTTTTCCCCCGCTCCCTGGTCCTTTGACTCCTGAAGAAGGACAAGTATGAGTTCACAGCAACCCTGCCAGTGGAGAAGAGGACACCGAGTCCTATCATCCATGCTCCCTGTCCCCAGCCTCCAGCAGCAGCTCCGAGTTCCCTTGAAGAATTATGGGCGAGCTCAAAAGACTCGAGGCCAGCAATGGACTGGATCTCTCCCACTATTACAACAGGTCCAGCACAGGCAACAGGACCAGGTACCCCAGCCTGGTCACCCCCACCATGGCCCTCTTCAAACAAGAAGGATGGCCCAGCACATCTATTGATGCCCATGCATTTGACAGCTACATGCTGATGTGCTCGGTAATGGTGAGTGACAAAAGGCTGGTGAATGGATATGAACACCACAACACCAAAACCCTCTACTACTCTACACTAATCACCAATATTATTGAGTTCAGGTGTTTCGAGTATGATAGAAGCACTCTGCAGACTTCAACAAATCAGGGAAAGGTTGTTTAAAGACCTATATTTGGTACTAGTGAGCTACACAAGATGTAATACTTGCGCTAGCGGGGTTTTAAGACATGATTGGATGAATAGTGACTTGGGTTGAGCAACTGCGCTCAGTCTAACTCTGATACTTCGAAACTAGTGGCACTCTGGGCCAAATACTGGGTCTCACAAGAGGTCTACACTTGACTAGCGGCACCCTAGGCTCGACTAGTGGCACTCTTGGCCTAAGAACAAATACTTTAACTCTGAGAAAATACTTTAACTAACTTCGAAATGCTCTGAGTCACTCCAAGATGGAATAGCAACTTTAAGACACTTCAATCCATTCAATACTATAGTTGACTAAGCGACTAGTAGACACTTCGTCAAGGTTAAGCACAAAAGCCTTTAATTGGGGCACTAGAATACTGACTAGTAGGTCACAATCACAGGGATGGCTTGCCTGGCTTGTGAGGCCGCCCCTTCTACTACTTATATACTACAGAGACAGGTACAGAATAAATATAAATAGATTCCTTAGGGATAATATTGGTAAGGATGTCTTGGCTAGTTATGAATAATGGTGAGCAATCACGCAATAGTCGGCCTAGCCTGTTATTTCTGTCAGATAGTGGGCCTAGGGCCTCCACTATTGGTCTTTTCTGTACCCTTTGCCCAGCAGTGCTCCACTAGTGATACAGCTATATGAATAGTTGGGTAACCATTGAAGAGGCTCTGTGTGTGCTGACACATGTGCAATGCGTTCACACATGTAATTTTGCGAATTCTAGGAATGCAAATGTGTGTGTGCCCTGTGAATAATATTAGAGTGCATGTAAGGCATAGAGCGCTACACACTGAGGCAGAAAGCACTATAATAAAAATAATATGAGTAGAGCGCATGGCTTAGACTTAGAGCGGCACACTGGTGTCATTTAAGTGTGCAGTCTCAGTGTTTATACACACACACTGTGCCCTCCTCTGCAATGTATCAATCAATTAAATTCACTGAAGATAATATATTGAAGGTGCTTTGCGCTGCATTGATCTATGATGTGTGAACCCTGCCGATCTGGCAATCACCGAGAAACATCATCCTGAATGAAGAATCAACAAGTCCAAATACTCTAAGGAGTTCTTGGCCGGAGAGAAATAAAACCCGCTGCCCATATGAAATATTAAACTAGAAATGGTTGCACGGCAACCAATAAAATAAAACTCACTCACTAGATAAGTTGCATGGCACTGTAATTAAATCCATGGAGCCAATAAGAAGACACACACTGCATGGCACAACGAGGCTAGGCCTTGTCAAGTGGAGAAAACAGTGGTAGCATGTGCGCCGACACAGAGTGCTGAGTAAAATAATGATTACTATCACTACGGCTGACATGGCACGCAAGAGAAGGGAGTCTGAGGTGGAGCATTGTCTATTTTCAGTATTTACATTTCATATAGTTAATGGTAAATATAAGAGCAGTAGTTACAGATAGTTAGCAAGTTTTCAGACCCCTGCAGTTGTACTACAAAGCAGCGCACTTAGTGTACGACGAAAGGATTTTATTTGAAGCTTCGAGCGAGAGAATATTATTGAACTGAGAATTATTTTGAACACCTTGAGAGCTTGCGAGGCATGCCTTGCTCGAGCGCACTTGATTTGTTCAAGTAAAGTGCAGTAATTGATTGTGCTCTACCTAGAGAATATTGTATTGTGATAACTTGAATGTGCATTTGTGTTTTTGGAACTTGTTTGTGAATTCCGAGTTATTGCAAGTGGCAGAGGTTCGAACCCTTTGGCTTGTCAGTAATCTCTGAGGTTTTTGGTTTATTCCCAAGTGGCATAGGTTCAAACCCTGTGGCTTGTGGACGTGTTTTCTGTGTTTGTGTATCTCTGGATCGCATAGGTTAGAACCCTGTGGATCTACGAACGGGTTTTGAAGTGTTTTCTGCTTGGAGCACAAGGCTTTAAGTCATGTTAAGTGTATTGTGAAACGTTGTGGACACTTGTGTGTTGCACATGATGTATTTTGAGGGTTATACATTCTTGTAGAAGATTTGGGGGCTTGTGAAATAATACTTTTGCCTTGAGGCCGAGCGATTCTGTCACTCACCTCCTGTTCCAAAAGCATTTGGACTTAGAAGATTATTATATTGCTAAGCGCACTATATTATATTGTAACGTGCAAGGATTCTTTCAATACTACTGCTATTGTGTGCTTGTATCGCAAATCACCCCCGAACTACTGAGGGTTTGTGTGTGTGTGAGTGTGAGTGAGTGTGAGTGAGTTGTGTTAGTGTTATATATGCTAGTGCATTTCTAGCTTGGCATGCACAGAGCCTCTTCAGTGCCAAGCTCGAAATGCGATAGCATAGATACACTAAACACACCCACTCTCACACTCACACACACACAGAATCTCAGTAGTTTGGGGGAGATGTGCGATGCAAGCACACAATAACAATAGAATTAAAAGATGTCTTGCGCTCTTCAAGATATAATAGCATGCTAGCTCAAAAGAATTCTCTAAGTCCAAATGCTTTTAGGACAGGAGGTGAGTGATATGTATCACTCAGCCTCGAGGCGAAGGCAATATTTCACAAGCCCACAAACAGTCCCACAAGAACATACAACCCTCAATTGACATTGCGTGCAACACACAGGTGGCCACAACCCTGTCAAACAAACTACACATGACTTAAAGCTTTGCGCTCTAGGCAGAAAACACTTCAGGAAACCTTTCGTAGATCCACAGGGTTCAAACCTACGCGATCCAGAGACACAGAAACACAGAAACATGTCCACAAGCCACAGGGTTTGAACCTATGCTACTTGGGAATAGACCAAAAACCCTCAAAGAGTATTGACAAGCCAAAGGGTTCGAACCTCTGCTACTTGCAACAACTCAGAATTCACAAACACATTCCGCAAACACAAATGCACATTCAAGTTATCACAATACAATATTTCTCCGAGTTGAGCACAATCAATTATTGTCCAGAATCAAGCTAAGCGTTGTGCGTGAGCAAGGCATGCCTCACGACCTCTCAAGGGTTTCAAAATAATTGTAGATTAAATAATATTCTCTCACTCGAAGCTACAAACACAAGTCCTTTGGTTGCACACTAGGCTCTCTGCTTCCTGTCACAACTGCAGGGGTTCGAAAGCTTGCTACCTACTTCTAATTACCGTGCTTTTATCTACAGCTAATTATATAAATAGAAATATCGAAAATAGATATGCTCCACCCCTGGAGCCATTTCCTCTCCATGACGCATGAACCGCATGGTCACTAATTAATATCCTGAGTCAGTCATCCGAGTTAGTGCTCGATAACATGCTGCTCTTTCTTCTTGGCAAGGTCTAGAGTTGCCACATCATGCGGAATATTTCTCCTAATTGGCTCCTTGTTTTTAATTCCTCTGTCGCACACATCGCTAGTGAGTTGGTATTTATATTTGGTTGCTGCACAACCTTTTCTTAGTTTAATATTTCATTCTGGGTACAGGTTTTCTCTCGTGTCGGCTGAAGCCCTCTCAGGAGGCTCGGACTGGGTGGTCCTCAGTTCTGACTGACATGTTCTCGGTGATTGCCAGATCGGCAGGGTTCGTACATCATAGATCAATATTGCGTGAAGCTCCGTAAATATATTATCTTTTCAGTGCTATTTTATTTGAGTGAGACTGCTGCTGAGGGATGCATAGGGTGTGAGTCAGGGCACTGAGACTCCACACTTAAATGACACCAGTGTGCTGCTCTAAGTCTAAGCCATGCACTCCACTTGGATTATTTTATTATATGCTGCTACTGCCTCAACAGGTGTCGCTCCATGCCGGGTATGCACTCTAATATTACTTAGTGGATTGACACACATTTGGATTCACAGGATTCGCAAAATTACACGTATGAACGCATTGCGTGCATGTCATATCCCCCTCACTAAGCTTCAGGACCTTCCATGGTCCGTGCAGGTGGGTTCCAGTAGGTTCTAATGGGTCCTGGTTACCACATGCAACTCCTTTTCATGTGGAAAGAAGCCCTGAGTCATGTAGCATCTTTGGCTTCTCATGACAGTGGGAACTTCTTGTGTTCTCTTTTCTCTTTTTATGTCACGCTGAACTTCTGGGAATATTTAAACTGACTCCAGCCTGTTTTTCTCCCCTTCTTCCTTACCCTTCTTCGCTCCACCTCTGTGTCGTACATAGAGGTTGTCCTCTTGTCATTTCTCCCTTGCTCGCTATCATCGCCATTTCCAAAGCTCGCCATGGCCTCTGAAGAGGTTCTCACCATCTCCTATGCCATTCTGCTCGAGGAACTTTGTCAGAACCTGCACGGCACCCAGCTCTTCACTGCCACGTACTTTGATCCTCGTCAACTCCAAGCCGTGTCTGATTCTGAGATAAAGTCTGCCTTGGTTACCGCTCATCGTTACCTGGTGCGCCTTTTTATTCTTCTGTCTTTTTCTCTATTCACTTTTTATTTTATTTTTATCTTCTGTAGGACGCACACATGGAGACACTCCGTGCTCACCAACTTCAAGACTCACGTTACAGGATTGGTCTCCGGTATCAAATTGTGCACCTCATTGCCCGCCTTCCAGCCACGCATCGTCAAGACGAATGGTGCACCTGGGAGTTGTCATGCCATGACAGCCAGTGGAATATGGTGTGCCACTTTACTTCCTTCCATTTTCCTCTGCTCATAAATTTGTAGTTGGTCTTCGACGAAACCCTCTGCATCCCGAGGGACCCCAACTATTCCTCCAACGGCACCCACTCTGTGGTCGAGTACGACCTCTGGCCTTACCATGTCGAGGCTGTTGTCACACCTCCTGTCTGTCCTAGCATGACGCCATCTCCAGACAAAGCTGTTAACGTTGCTACGACCAGGTATTTTTAGTTTTCTCTTGATCCTATCTATCCCTTCTGACTCAATATTTCCTTTTTCCAGTTCTAACACCGGTGTGGTTCCTCAGCCTCAAAGGATCACGAAGCCAGAGCCCCCTAAAGGCCCTTGTAAGTATTTTCCACGTGCTATATTTTATTTTCTTGTCATGTATCTTTTTCCTCTTTTTAGCATTCACTAAATTTGGTCCGCCCAAAAAGGCTGGCCTCATCAAGAAGATGGTATCTTCACCTGTGGAGATGCCCAAGTCTTTGACCCTGATGGGTTTCTCCTACGTATACCTTCCTGTATAGTAGCTAGAATATTTGTTCTCCCTTTCTAGCCTCCAGTGACTACATGCAAGCGAGCTCGTGAAGAGCTCACATGAGACAGTGTGAGCCCTTATTTTCTCATGCTGTATCTAATCTCCCTGACTCTTCTCTTTAGTCCCCAATATTAAATACCCCACAGAAGGCGCAAGCCTCTATGTAAGCTTTTGGTCTTTGCTCTCTAGCTTTATATCCACATTCATGACTCTGTTTTTATTCAGCTTTCGTAACTTGGCTCTGAGGAAGCCTGTGGTCATGGCCAAAAAGCCTGTGATCCAAGGTAATATTTTTTGTTTTGTATTTTTATTTTTCTGACGCATTTCATCTATTCCAGTTCCTTCAATCATGGTCTACGAAGATGAGGAGCTGGAGGAGGAAGATGCCATAGAGGAGGAGCAGGTGGAGGATCAGTTAGATAAGGAGCAGTCAGAATCAGAGGATGGCCTTTCTCCTCCGCCAGTGAAGCGCGCACGAATGCGGTTGCTTGACACACTACCCCCTCCTCGTGTGTACCATCCTTTAACTGGAGAGCCATTGAGCGGCCTCTCATTTCTCATGTTTTCTACAGTGACCCAGCCTCTCACACCACCTTCTTCACCATCCCCATCTCAACCGCAAAAACGAGGATGTGGACGACCCCCTGGTTCTAAAAACAAGAAAGGGCAGGGCACTTCGAGTGTGCCTAAATCCACTTGCGGCCATCTCAAGGCCTCTGTTGTTACTGGATCCTTGCATGCCCAGACTGCACCTGAGGCTTCATCTCATGAAGCCTCCTCTCTCTCCACATTGTCCGAGCTCCCAGATGAAGAACACATACTGGCGCCAAGAGGGGAAGCCATGCAAGGGCGAATCTCCATGCCTGGTTTGGAGAAAGACACCGTGCATGCCAGGAGGTTCCCCATTGAGGAAACTGCTCCTGCTGCATCTGGGTCTGGCATGCAAGAGGGAGATAATTCTGTCGTCGTTGATGACGTTGTGTATGCTTGTGCCTTCCACCCCTCAGTGGACCTTCAATTCCATGAGCCTATGTCTCGTCAAGCCCTTGAGCATCTCAAGCTCTCGGCTCTACCTCCTGCTCCGGCTTCTCTTTCCAAGTAAGTCATTTTATTACTTTCTCTCTTTCTTTTCTTCCTGCTAAACTTAATTTATTAGGCCTTCAACCGAAATGCGCAACGGCCGTCCTGCCGTATTCCGTGCTCACTCTGATCTCGGGGCACACATCCTGCATGTGCCTAACATAAGTTTATTTTCTCTCTCGTCAAGGTTATTCTCTTTTCTCATCTTCTTCATTCAGATTTTCCATCCCTGCTTTAACTGCAGCTTCTCTGGTTTTCCTGAACTCTGCGAGTTCACTGGGGAAATTGGAGAAGAAGCCTGCACCAAATGCAAGACTGGCAGGCATGGGAAATGTTCTGCATGACTCAATGCTGTGGATTTCCGGTGTGCTGCTACCCTTCTCGACCCACTCACCTTGAGTGGTGACCCTGGTAAGTCTATTTATTTATTTCCCTCTTCTTTTTCATAGTTCATTATTTCTTGTCAGCTATCTGTGAGTGGCTTGACCATGTCGCAGTCCTCGATGCCGAGATCGGAACCTTCTACAACCTTGCTCACAGCCACATGGCCGAGCGCAACAAGGTCGTTCAAGAATTGGTTGACGGTCTCGACTCCATTGCTTTGCGTGAGGGGGGAACTGCTATCATCGACACCTATGCTGAGGTCTCTGACCTTATTCGTTCTTTCATTGTCGAGGTTGGCAAGGATGCCTCCGATTCTGGGTCTGAGGGTGGGGCCGACAATGCTTAAAGGGTTTTTGTATGTACTATACCAATTTCTTGAATGCTCTAGTATTCTTTTGTCATACCATGTCAATTGTTTTCTTGTACATTCATTTTCCTTTATTTATCGTAGCACTCAGGGTCTTTAGATGCAGCCAGCAGTAGTTACATTGTATATGCCGCGCAGTTTCTTATGGAGTTCAACTCCAAAATTAATATCCTCTCTTCTCTTCTTGCTGCTCCTCTTTTGTGTGTCTCTCTAAGTCTCTCTTCCTTCGAACTTAATGGTCAATGACATCTTATTGTGGCATGTCATGATGTGCCTGATCCACGGTTTCTTTATTTGTCTGCTCTGTAGTTCGTTATTTTATCATCTCGTTTTTCCTTTCTTAAATTTATTTCCTTTTGTTTCCTAGCTTGTTGTGACAGCCAATCCTGTATTTCTCAGGCTTTGTAGCCTGTCCTTTTTGCTCTAGGAAATATGTCTTTTTATCTGTCATGTCCGCCACACCATGACATATATTGTAAGTTTATTTCTGCTCTAATTTGATTTTATTTCTTTTTCATTCTTAAAGGTACTCTGTTGCTCTCTTCTTTCTGAGTTTCAGAAAATCGCAAAATTTTATGTACCTTTCCAGGTAATATGTTAATAGTAATACCATAGGTATACTACTATATCCCCCCCACTAAAAGAAACTGACTGTCCTCAGTCATCAAATTCAAATAAATTAATTCCCTTTCATCCAGTCAATTAATGTCAGCTTGGCAGCTCACACGTGGTAGTTTACTATCCCCATGTATTTTTCTAAGTACAGGCTGGACTTTGTTCTCCGGTTGTCTTGCGACAATTAAATCTTTTTGCGGTTGTCTATGCCCTCGTTTTTCACTATAAAAGTGGGCGCTAAAGTGGTGGAATCAGCAGAGTGACTACTTCCTTGACCAACATGTGAATCCCACTCACATGTGATACCCACAGTACGAGGCACTCAAGGCGGCAGTCTGCACCCGTTTCTGGAAGGGTCACCATCAAGACTTGAAGTACAAGGAGTGGGAGGCATTGAAACAGTTGAACTTCAAGAGCACTGAGGACTTCTTCCAGAAGTTTAAAGAACTAGCCAAGGACACCGGAAAACTTGGCAGCGACACTGACATGCTTCGAGTCACCCAAAATGCCACCAGGAAGACATCTCATGACATCATCTACCACAGCAAATTTGTGGTCCCTCAGATGTACACTGAGTGGAAAGAGCAGGTTGAACAGATTGACCTAAACTACCACATCCACCATGCCAAGTTCAGCAGTGGACTGCTGCCCAAAAGTAAGACCTCCCAGAATAACAATTCGGGTCGAGGCCACCAAAATGCTATGTCAGGAAAAGCCAGCAGCTCTGGGAATTCCAGCAACAAGCACGATGAGACTGGGACGATGTACGGTGGACAGGGAGAGCCCATGGAAATCGACAAGTTGTGCAAAGACAAGTTGTGCTTCCATTGTGGACAGCCTGATCATATGGCCCATGACAACAAGTGTCCCAGCGACAGGTCAAAATGGAAGAAAGTCAAGATGCCACCAAGGAAGAAACCAAATGTGCAGAGGCTATGGGCACTATTGGAAGAGGCAGAAAAGGAAGAGGTCGAGAGCGCTGTCAAGGCCAACAATGAGAAGGAGGACAAGAAGGCAAAGGAGAAGGAGTCATCAAAAGACAAGCTGGCAGTGCACTAAGTGCTTCAACATCATCAGCAAAGGACTTAGTCTCTCATGGTATGCAATCTTCACATGCTGGTTGAACTTATGATACTTTTGTAGGTACACCATTTGAACAATATACAAATTTTTATGCCCTGCTTACCATTGAGATGACTAAGGAAGAAGAAATGCAACAACAAGGTGTAGGAGGGGATTACCACCTTTGCGCTGACCAAGGCCGGTCAGTCGATAAAGAACCCCTGGGGCCAACCTCCTGCCAAGGTCAGAAAACGAGCATGAATAGCCTAACAGTGAAAGGCCCAGGAAAGCCATCTCAAAGTGTGGCAGGACATTTGGAAACTATGCCAACTTATAGATGGAAGTCCAAGGTAGGGGCAGAAACAATCAACAGGATCAGGGCCATGCAGGTGCACCGAGGAACCAGAAGCTTGATGGGTCCACACAAGGTACAGGAATGCAGAATGCAGCAGCCGGCAACACGAGACCTGAAGGGGAGGCGATCACTGTGCTGCCCCTTGATTATCTTTCAAAGTACACTCTTGACACCAGAAATCACTCAATCGCCCACAAGGATCAAGAGGGCCAAACCGAGGACAGAGAGTCCTCTTATCAGGTACGTCTTCCACCCATGAAGATAGTCAAATGGACCATAATGGTCAAAGAAGTGGAAGACAAGGAAGGTGAGTACCGATCCTCCATCCCTACTGCTAACGAAGTCCAAGAAAAGACCTCAACGGGGACAAAGAAGTCTGGAGGCAAACAATTTTTGGAAACCCCTTTGCTTCATGCAAAGTCCTTCAGCCAACAGGGGAAGACCTGGGAGAAGTGTTCTAACGAATCTTCTGAGGAGTACCCAGACATGTACTATGAACCATTTGGGCCACACTGGACTTGAAGGGCACTTCACCTCACGTGAACTGCCTCCGCAGCCAAGGCCATCCTAAATGGTTGGGTACACCCTCAAAGAAAGGAGGAAGTAATGGAGGAACTGTGCAAGACGCTGATGGAAAGGAAAGAGATGGCATCGGAAGCCAGGGACAAATGGGAATGGCTAGATGAGTTGAAGAGACCCCCCATGTACATACGAGGATGAAAAGGCCATAACGTATCCATAAAGGTACAACTGGAGACCCTGGACAATCAAGAAACCTATGCTCTAGATGCATTAGTAGACAGCAGGTGCACAGGAAGCTCCATAGACTGCATGTGGGTACAAAGACATGGGTTAAATGTACGAAAAGCAGCGTGACCCACTCCAGTGTACAATGCTGATGGCACCAGGAACAAGGGAGGCAACATTACAGAATACGCAAAAGTATGACTCAAAATAGGAGATCACAGCGAAAGGATAGATCTTGCCATCATAGATCTCGGCACTACTCCATTGTTCCTAGGACATGACTGGCTTCAACAACACAACCCATTGATTGACTGGAACACTGGCTTGGTAACCTTAGCCCGGTGTGACTGTCAACAAATACAGTTCAAACTGCTGGACACAGATCCAGATGCTAAGTGGGGAGACAAGTACGAAGAAGGAGACACCATATTAGTAGTAGACTTTGAAGAAGCCTTCCATGTAAGGGCAATGGGGAGCAAGGCCAATGAGCTAGCTGCTAAGGCCAATGAAAAGAAAGAGAAAAAGTTGTTCAAGGAAATAGTACCGGAGGAGTACCGGGACTTTCATGATGTATTTGCCAAGGAAAACTTCGATGAATTACCACCACAGAAACCCTGGGATCATGCAATTGAACTACTCCCTAATGCGAATGCCAGCCTGGACTGCAAGGTATACCCCCTTAACCCCGTTGAACAAGAAGAACTGGATAAATTCCTGGATGAAAACCTATCCACTGGAAGGATTCAGGCTTCAAAATCCCCCATGGCATCTCCATTCTTTTTTGTAAAAAAGAAAGATGGGAAGCTTAGACCAGTCCAAGACTACTGAAAGCTCAACAAGATAACCATCAAGAATCGGTATCCGTTGCTGCTCATCAGCGAGTTGATGGATAAGCTTAAA